TTTTGCTAAACGGCTGAACCACAAGAGACTAAACCAGTTCTTTTCCAAACGGTCTTCTTCCCCTCCCTGGCCTTGCAGTGGTTAATTTTGTAGCCACTGCCTGCACACTGGCCCTGGCCATCCTGCTCATTCCCCTTCCAAACAAAATGAACATGACCTTAGATTGCAGCAGATGGGCTAAGCATAGAAAAACTAAGTTAAACTTGAAAACAGCAAAAGTTCGGTTCAAATGTAACAATGCCCTGAGTACACACCCGTGAACGTAATTAACTGTGCTTGAGGCTCACAGCAGAAAAAACCTGTTTGCTTTGCCTTACTTCAACCTATCTGCCAAACACTATAATCATGCACTTTGATAATCACCAAGAATGTAAATAAACTTGAGAAAAACAAAATGATGCAAACTTCCGTTGGTTATCAGTGACTTGCCTGGAGCTACAGAAGAACATAGCTGTTTTACTCACCCGAGGACCTCTCTTTCCTGATGGACCAGGTAAACCTGGAGGACCTGGAGGACCCTGATGGTAGAAAATTAAAACAATCAAGGCTAAAACCAGTACAAGGACAGTATCACAAGTCTGACTCAGGCCAGTTCTAACAGATTACTTTCTGCTTGTGCAAGCCTTCTTGTCTTGAAAACCAATTCAAATACTACAAGTGTGTGTTTTTAATCCAGCTCTAAATCAGATTGCTGTTTAGCAAGTATCTTGTGTCAGAGGAACTGGAGCTAACAATCTAGATAGTAACTTTTACTTAAGTCTATTTGTATTAAAAGAAGAAGAGATCAGTTCAAGGATAAGAAACAAACAAGTGCAGTGTGTTTCAAAACAAAGAATAGAGAATAATTACGCTTAATAGGTATGCTGGCATGCCAAACATTTTAGAAAAGTTAGGGGTAACTGAAAAAATGAGATACCACCTCACAGAACACACATGACATAGAAGAAAATAGAAGTGGACAAATGACTATTCAATTTCTTATTAAGGGCTTCTCATAAGAGTAACTGGCAGCATGTTCACCCTTGTATATCATGAATATCACTCTTTTTAAAGAAAAAAATGCAGATCTAAAAAAATGCTAGTATATAACCAGATGTATCTTTTACAAATAAATTAGATTATTAGTCACAATAAGAATATTGGGCATTGCACATTTAGTTGTTTCGACCACAGAAATCTTTCCTTCTCTGCATGCAATTGCTGTCCACATTCAACACCCTTGGGTTTACTTCATTGCACTCAAATACAAATAAGAGCTCCAGACTAAAATCTGCAGTAATTTATATTTTATTTCATCTGTCACATTCGAGTCCTAAGAAGGCATGGACTGTTCTTCAGAGTGAATTCAGCTCTCATCCACTTGCTAGGACAGTAAGTCCCAGCTTTAACAGAAACCAAGAACAGCCACTGCAAGGGAAGATGGGCACTTGATCAAAATATTAACAAGGACTCTCCCTAACCACAGTCTGTTACTCTACCCTCCAGCTTAGATTCCTCCCTGCAACTCCAGCAACTTCTCTGCTGACAGTAGATCTAGTTGAGTACATGCAGGTCTTCCTGGAAATGCTTTTCTGACTAGTTTTAAGAAGTTAATCCACCCTATGTGCTTCTGCAACCTGTGAAAGCAACTACAACTTCAAATCAGCATGATTGTTTCTATACTAACTAGGAAACTATTTACACCTCTTAGGCATCCACATAAGCTACAGAGGTCAGCTTCTGAGAGTAAGCCAATCTCTCCAACCAAGGAATTAGTCATCTACTTGCACAGCTTTTCCTCCAACTGCTGCAGTCATTAAACAAACCTGAAGCAAATAAAGTGTTAATGTGTTTTTTTGCATTTGTGCATTTTTGCACTTCCTGTAAGTATTACAGATGCAAATTTAACTCATTAAATAAGAGAGCAGTTTGCTCAAAACAGAAAATGTATACCTTTAAAAAGTTACAACAACTTACTATGCTTAGAAATTGCAAACATTTCATTCAGCTATTGAGAAGAAAAATTCAAGTTGCATCCAATCATGGCTTAATCCTGAAATAATAAAACTAGATGCTACTTTCCCAGAGACACTCACTATGTTTTCAAGGGTCATTGGAATGAATGAAATGGTGAACTTTCACAGACGTTTTCTAGGATACTGAAGATCTTCTATGGATGCATGTGTTTTAAGCCTGCCCTAAGCCAGAGGTAACAGGAAGCATTTAATTGACACACAATAAGCTCCTACGATTTCAGATGCACAGCTGTAAATTCTGCATTAAATCATTAAAACTTCTGCATATACAGATCCTGTTGCCATTCAATACCCAACTCATATTCTTTGAGGTTTCTCTTCCAGAACAACTATAAAGTTTCTCTTTAAAAAGCATTTGACTACACCTCAACCTCAGCTCCCCTCAAATACTTTTAAAAAAGGCTAAATTAAAGAAATATGAGTTTAATGCTTGATCCATCAAATACATAAGGTGGGTGGTCCTTCAGCCAAACAAAAAATACACTAATCACAGAATGTTAGGGGTTGGAGGGGACCTCTAGAGATTGAGTCCAACCCCCCTGCCAGAGCAGGACCAACACAGAATCTAGAGCACATCACTCAGAAATGTATCCAGATGGGTCTTGAAAGTCTCCAGAGAAGGAGACTCCACAACCTCTCTGGGCAGTCTGTTCCAGTGCTCCCTAACCCTTACAATAAAGAAGTTCTTCCTCATGTTGAGCTGGACCTTCCTGGGCTCCAGCTTGCAACCACTGCCCCTCATCCAATCACAGGGCACGACTGAAAAGAGATTGCCCCTCCTTCTTGACACCCACCATTCAAATATGTATATACGTTAATAAGAGTCCCTCTCAGTCTTCTCTTCTCTAAACTAAACAGCCCCAGGTCTCTCAGCCTTCCTCCTAAGATAGGTGATCCAGTCTCTTAATCATCCTTGTATCCCTCCATTTGACTCTCTCCAGTATATCCCTGTCCCCCTTGACAGCAATAATCTCAAGTTTCTATCTGAATCAACAGATACTGAAATAGATTTCTCATTCTGTGTAGGTGTTGCCAGCCAATGCCAGGGGGGCTATCATGAGTGTTACCTGCAGAGCTAAAATGCATCAAAGTGATTAACTGCCCAACATGTCCCCTGTGGCTTAGAGAGCCTCAGCAAACAACTTTGTTCCACCGAGAAATAAGCAAAGAGTAAAATATCCGCTGATGCTACACTTACTGCTGTTTACTTAGCACCAGATTTAGAACCTCTGCCCTCTTTTAAGATTCCCACCCTCACACTTCTTGGCTGGAATCCAAGCATCTCATCCAGGACTCAATTCTGCCTAACGTAAGGCTTGCATTTCCAGTTCCTCCTGGCAGTATCTCCAGACTGCTTCTCCTTACCAACAGGATAGCCCAAGGAACACCACCTTTTGGTCTTCTACTGTTGCTTCTCCTGGCTGACTGTCTTCCTAATCCAGAAAGCTTTTCTAATAGAGAAAACTAACTCCTACCTCATGCCTCAGAAAGCCAAATCATGTGCAGATAGGCCTGCAGATACAATTACCTGCCAGCAACTAACCTAAATGAGCTCTTCAACTCACATCGACCCCTCCTTCTACCAGTGAGGCACTAGGTATCATGTTACTGCAAACTGCCTTAGGACTATGCAATGAGGCTGTAAGTTTGAAAGTTTGAGATACACACAGGATTTATTTTATCTTTATACAGTGCCAACACAAAAAGGAGTGGTTCATCAGATAAATAGCGCAGTTTCCCCCTAAACTAGTGGTTCAGGAGACCACACTGCTCCAGCTTAAACTCACCGTGTATCTTTGTAGGGACTTTGGTCATTGAAACTGCTAGAATTTTAATCAGAGTCTTAATAGTTTTGAAGAAATGGGTGCCTTTTCTATACGATATCCAGAAATGAAAGCTGAATTCTGGCACCCTGCTTGCAGCAGTGGGTGAATTCCAGTTCTCTGGGATCATAAAATACAAGGAGACTAATTATACAAGGCAAGAATCAATTCTAGTAGATGATTAAAAGCTAAAATGAAGCTGAGGAGTTTACAAGAAAAAAAAAGCAAGTTCTTGCCTGTCAAGTCTGATAGAATGAACATTTCTGTGTTGAAAACCCCAAAAAACCCATGAGTTTCATGCCTCACCAGGATTTTTTGCTGCAAGGGAACTTTGCAAGTTCTTCAGTGTTGCTTTTTAGACTCCACTGTGATAAGACTCTGTATTTATGTATTTAAACTTTAGAGTAACACAGATGAAAGCTGACTCTGGTCTTCTCCACATGGGTGTTCTAGACTGAGAAAGCAAACCAAGACCACCCCTTCAAGTCTGAGGCCAACAACTGCCAGGTACTGTGCCACACAGCCTCCATGGAGCACAACTCTTTACAAAAGGTTGTGTGGAAGAGCCTTGCAGGGGCCTCTCCTCCCTCTGGCATCAACCTCTTTGGCAGGAAAGTGCTTTTAGCATTGCCTCTTTCAGCGGCTGCTGCTGTCCCTTCCAGCCAAACTAGTGCTCACAAAGGTCTAGATCAACTTTTCAGCAGTGCCTGTTATTTAAATCCTGACCCAGCAAAACACTTTGGCACAAATGCATCATATTCACTGCCACAGACTATATCAACCACAAGGTCTGCTCTAACTTCCTCGATAGGGTAGACAAGCTTCTGAGTCCCAAGTCTGTAAGAGAGGCATAGAAAACAGTAATATAGACATTTTTGAACTCTCCAAATCAGCTGTCATCTTTGACACTGTAAGTATAGTGTATTTGTATAGAAAAAAAAAACAAAAGCATTTGAAGCATTTGGTCTTTTAAATAGGTTTTTGATTCTCACTACCTTGAGGAAAAAAATAATTAAGTGCTGAAAGAATACATGCAATATATTTATGGACACATTAAAATATATACTAAGAGCTCCTTAGCCCATATCAAGTTGCTTTCCAGTAATAACCACACAAATGCATGCACATACACAAAAAAAAAAGCAAGTGGAACTATCTACTCCATGCTACAGTTTAAAAATGTAAACTAAAGACTCAAACAAGCACTATCATATGTCTCAGGCTAAGCAGGAACTGCTGTTCTTTCTTGTCTGTACCTTCATATATATTGCTCCCATTTTTATATATGAAGTTTGAGCCTTGTGTAAATAGTAAGAAAGGACAAACAATTTTCTATTAAAAGCACTACTGTGCATTTACAATTGTTATCAGGATCCCTTACTTTATGAACTGAAAAAATGCCACAAAATCTTGTAAGGCTGTTCTAAAAATAATTTTTCATGGAGGTTACATGACTACCTACCCTTGGGTTACAAATGGCTTTCCCAGTCTAGATTCTACCACTGGTCACTTTCTACATTTATGAATTTTGATAGCATTGCTCAACTAAGAAATCTATGTTAGTCTTCCAAACAGCTTGGTTGTTCTTCTCATGAATGTGTCTACATTTGTATTGTATGACTTTATCCTGTATTTTTATTAGCTAAGCAGTCTCCATAATTAGCAGTTACAAACATCTGGCTGCATTTCAAATTTTAAAGAAGCCTGGGTTGCCTACCACTTCAGCAGAATGTGAAAGTCTTGAATAGCTTTATATTCTGCCAGTAAATAAAAAGATATGACACTTGAACCAGAATTACATGTGGAAAAGAGACACACTTAAGGCAGGCAAACATTTGTTCAGCAGAGCCAGGAGAAGCTGCAGTGGCAGCTTTGGCATGCATTGGGAGGTTTATTTCAAAGCCTCTGTTAACTATGTGTTGCTGCATTACAGTAAAAAAAGAGTAGTAAAGATAACTTACAGGAGGTCCTGTTTCCCCCTTCAGACCTCTGGCACTTCCCATTTCAAACATTTTGTCAAAATCTTCATAGTCATAAGCATAATTATCAATACCAATATTGTAACTGTTTTCCGTGTTATAAGTCTCATCAGCATCAAATGCATCTTCCTGCATCGGACCAAGGTGGTTATCCAGAGAGAGGTCAACAGGCAAACCATGCAGAGTTGTGTTGAGGATTTGCTGCTTTTTGCTTGGTTTATCTAAATGCCGTTTTGCTTCATCCATTCTCTTGCTTTCAGTTTCACTCTGTTTCACAGGGAAGATCAGAGAAGGCTCACTTTGTCTGCCTGCATCTTCTGTGGTATTATCTAAAGCATTTGGATATGATCCTGTGGGGGTTTTAATGCTTCTTTTTTTGCTCACCTCCTTCTGATGAAAAGGGAGATTGACCTTCTCCTGGAGTTCTGTTTCAGGCCACTCTTCCAGCAACAGAGGTTTGGCCTCTAGAAACTCTGACTCAGAGACATTTCTTGACTCAAAGCGTTCTGATAGAAAGTGAATCTGAGCAACGTTGGTAACCAGAAAGTTGGAGGTTTCTTCCCTTCTATAAGCTGAGATACTTTTTGACAGTTTTTTCTCATTAATCATCATCTCTGAAGAACCATCCAGCCTATCTGACACATGTGGGGCTCCTAGCAGAGATCGATATGTTTCAGCCTGGCGACACTGCTGCTTCACATATTTACAATAGTTTGCAGAGGCTTCTGCAGAGGGAATAATATCTAGCTGACATATAACTCCTTCAAAGCTGACAGAGTGAGAGTTCATCCTTCCCAAGGTAAATAAACCATCCAAATCAAATGTCTCCACCTCAGAAAGTGTTTCCCTGCTATAGCACTTCTTCCCACACTCAGCAAATATTGAGACAGTCTTGTCTCTAATGCCAATGGCAAATAAATGCCACTGCTCATTGTGGACACTATAATCGAAGTAGACACACTGCTTCCCTCCAGTGTGCACCACTACCTTCCTCGGTAGCAACTGGACACCAAACTGCAGCCTGTTTTTGTTCTTAACACTGAAAAGGAAAGCGTTATTTATGCTGTATGAGTACAACCCAATTAATATGGTGAACTGATGCCCCAGGTTTGATGGTATGACTTGGGTGATGGGGGACTCGATATGTGCATCCCCAGCTAGTACAACTCCTGATACAGTCAGGCGAACACCTTGAGGTAACAGAGGTGATGTTGAGGGCACTGTTGTCTCCAAGGGCTGTTGAACATCTTTCACAAGGCCTAGTTGATGAAGAACATCTATTGCTGTAAGAAGAAATAAAGGCACATTGTTGATTTCATTCACAAGCTCATAAATTCAGATCCATATAAACAAATGTACACACAACATCTTAACCATCTGTACTTTCCAGAGCATATACACTGCACACAGCAAGGCCACCAAATCCCTAGTGTTAGGCACACAGGTCTTTCACATAAATCAAACAAATAACTCAAGCCAAAACAAAACTTCCATATTTAAAAAAATAATAACACACAGAAAGGTCCATGTAATGGCCATTGTAACTTAGCTCAATTGTGAAACTGAAGTATCCCCATTTAACATCTTCAACATTTTCACAGAAGTCAGTAAACACAATTTTTTAGTTCCTTATTTGGTTAATCCTGACTACTCCTTGAACAGATTTTTTTTTTTTTTTTTACTTTTTCTTCTGAAAAAACCTGTCACAAATCCATGCTTTTCCTCTTTGTCAGAAAAGTTTAAATGAAAGTACTTGGGGGGGACACTTTTTTTGTTTTGAAGGGACAAGTTATTTGTAACACAGTAACACCTCAGTGGAGCACAAAAGGACAGTCACTGGTTCCAAGCAAAATACACAAGTAAACCTTGCCAAGTAGCTACTACATGCTGCAGAGGTAATGCAACTGGTACCTAGGAAGAATTGCTGTGCTTCCAGCAGGGAGCTTTTCTCCTGCCAAGGCCCTGTGCCAATACGGAGTTGGCTTCAAAGGGAATTGCATTCCCTGCGGGATCATCCTTGATTGTATGTATCTGTGCCAAAGTTGGTCAGACTAAAAGAAAACAAAGATTTTTCTAAGGGGAGATGCAGAGGGTGCTACCACCTCCTTTCCCTCCACACAGTTTACTTTTCAAGGAGGAGAACTCTGCAGAAGCAGCAGTGTAGAGGAGCAAGGAAAGAGGAGAAATGTCAGGACCAAAGGGGCACTGCACTCATCTTCTGGCTCATCTGTCCTTCCAGCAAATGCCAGGCTGCAGCTACCCAGGCAAGACACACAATTAAGAGTGCACTCCACAGCAGGAGACAGCAGTGGACATTAAGACAACAGAGAAACCAGCTGTCCTACTGATTCATGTCCTATAGACTTGACCTTTGCATAAAGAAGTCTGAATGGATCTTCTACAGGGTGGAATGGGTAAAGGTGCTTTCATTGTTGGACTCTCTAGGGTTTTATATAATGTGAGCTTTGTGCTTTAGCCCTTTCCTTAGCCTGGACCTTACAGTATCTCCAGCTTTTGCCTGGCTAAATATCTTCACCTAATAGGTATAAACACAGATGTGTTCAAGGTCCCTAAATTTTCTGATTTTCTGTGCAAAGGGAAACTGAACATTGTAGTTTTCATAAACAGCATTACAAAGAAGCATACGATATAATATTTTTCCCCTAATTGGAACAACTGGCTGGACCTAAGCTTCAGTGAACTGCCTACATTAAAAATTACTAGCAGCATCTAACAGTTGCACTGATCTAACAAGCCTGACTAGGAAGAGATCAGCACTTCCCATGGCATTTAGCTGAGCGCCCATTTACTATGCATGCTGAGCTTCTATTAAGTAAACAACACTATTAAATAGCATAACAAAAATATGGAGTAACCAAGAAAAGTTAAGGATTCAGTGCTATATTAAGAGAAAGAGCAACTGAAACAAATGGATGTTCACTCTCTTAGTGGAAAAAAGGTCTCCTTTCCCATCCTTCCCTTTCTCTGTTTACTGAATGTATTCATAGCAAACTTTAAGAATAGACAGATGTTGGCTTAGTTTCAGTGGTAAATTATGGAAAGAGCCTGACATTTCCTTGAGAGTGGTTTATAAATTGGAACCAAAAGCATCAACCTGAACATCTTGAAAACTAATTACACACCTTGTAGTGTTTCTAGTCACATTTTAGATGCATGGATGTGCCAAGATTATCCTGGCATGTAGCCAGGGGAGACAGAGGTATGGTGAAGGCATATATTTGCAGAAAGTCATGTGTACACTAATTTCTCAAGATGTTTCGCCTCAGAGCAATTAATTTACTATGGCTGTATTTTTATCTGTCAAACAGATAACAGAGGTCAGGTTATAGAAGAGCTTTGAAGCACAATGCAACAGCTAATGAGCTACAGCCCTTTCCCAGGACCCCAGCCCTGCATGGTCTGCATGTAGTTATGGAGGAGAAAGCTGTACTCGTGTTTCCCTTGTGACAGGTAAGAAGAAACATGGGTCCTGAGCGCCGGGCAATTCAGAGGTGTACAACATGCAAATAACACTGCAAGGCTGGAGACACCGCTCCAGCATTTCTGTGCACTGGCTGGGCCAGCTGACTGCACAGAGAACAGCTAAGAATCTAACCTAATGTTGGGCATAAATATCACATCCTAACCTGAAAGATTTGGCAAGTACTGGTATTTTTAAATATTTGTAATTATGTATTTGTATTTAACAATACAAATTCATGTGACCTGTCTGAAGTATTCTAAACTCAAATAAAAGCAAAAAACTTACACTGGCTTAAACCAGTCAATTTCAAAATGACACTTGCTACTAAATCTCAAACTGCAAGCAAAATTACCAGGGTTTTAGCAGTTCTGATTTGAAAACAGCACATTGTTTCAAAGTTATTAAACTGGAAAATACATCTGAGAGCATGATAAGAAGACACATTCTCCATGCCCTGCAAACAGATTTCTGTGAACAATGACAGATTTTGAGAAAACAAAACACAAAGAAATGCTGTATGAAAAATGGCAGCAAAAGATTAAGAATCAATTAATTATCCCTTGCTGACTTGCTGCCTGTTAACCCACCATCAAGCCAACAGGCTGTTCCAAGCTTTTTTGGCCAGTTGTATAATTTCTGGTCCAACATGTTTTATTTTATTTTAAGGCTTTCAGCAGCTCTTGGCAGTACACAGGGTTTTGGGAGCAGACAGCCCTCTCAACTCCTCCTCTCAGCATGAAAACCACTATTTTCTTTACCAAGCAGTAGTCAAGTTTTCTTTGTTTACCCACGTCTGCACAACATCTGTCTTCACTTACTGTTCACTCAACCCATTAGTCCCCCAAACTTTGATGGCTCATCTTCTTGAAGGAGAAGTTCTTTCAGGTTTTTGATGTTAAGTGCTTTCCTTCCACCTTCCAAGAGGACTTGAAAAATTCACAAGCTTACTGCATCATTAGGGGAGGAAAAACCTAACATGAGCTTCAGCAAAAAATCTTCTGACCTTCATGGCATAAAAAAAGGAACTGGGGAGCAATGAGGGAATTTAGCTATTTAATTGATCTACATCCATATTTTCTTCAGCATCTCTTGTTCATTTTCCACATCCCTCCACGCTAATGATTACTTTAAAGGCAAGATATTTGGGATGCTCTCTTCATTTCAGCAATCCTAGTATATAGATTACCCACTTTCCCTTTACCAGTCAGCTCCACCAGAACTAAGGGAAGTTACTCACTGGATTGCCTATTTCCTGGGTAATGCTGCATCTGCAGGTGGGTAAACTAAGATACCTGGCTGCAGCAAATGCTGTCCTAGACACCAGGCTGAGTGACTGGACAACCAGATACCTTGTTTTCCCCGAGCCATACTTAAAGTACTGCTCCTAAAGATTGAGGTTGTATCTTTACACTTATTTCACTGGACACAATTTATAGCAGCCTACCAAAAGGAACAAAGCGTAGCTTCTCAGGTGAAGCATGCAGAGGCCTCCCCTTCAGCTCAGAAGAGAAGGAATGCTAATTACTCTAGCATCTTCATAATTGGCAGAATACGCTTGTTGTTGTTTGGTGTGGTTTTTTTCAAAATATGACTGCCAAGAAAGTTTTGATAACAACTTAAGTGTTAACACATTCCTAATGGGCAGACAATCCTGTTCCTGAACAAACTCCAAACACTGAAAATAAACTAATGCTAGCTCTGCAGGCTATATACTGAGACTGAAGGATGCACTTGGGCTGCTCTTTTGTTTAAGGTGGTTTCCTCAGTCTGTTGTTCTCTGAACTGCTGTTTGAAACTTTGTTTACACACTGTGCAAATGGAGTGCATTAGGGACCAAATTCACCCCCGAGCAGAAAGTTGCATCAAGGTTCAGTGCATCTTTTTGGTCCCAAGCAAGCACGTAGAGAAAATTGTGTATGGGATCTGTGCACAGAGTGTGGAGGGGAGTTTCCATTCAGTAAGATTTCTCATATGACTATCTAGAAATGCTCTGGAGTAATTAAACAAACAAACAAAAAGTAGGAATGCTTCTTCACATGCTGGTAACAACATAAAAAATAATAAATTATAAACATGTCAAGACTGGAGGCTCTACCCATTTCTGCAAAGCTCTGTGTACAAAAGTGCTCTCACCTTAGAGGCAGATAAGCCTCAAACTGCACCCATCCCCCTGCACCACTGACACCCCCAGTCCTGTAGACTTTGAAGTTCTCACTTGAAGTTGCATTAGAAAAGCAATTCTCAGGCACATAAGAAGTGACAGGAATTGTTTCTTTCTTTGCAGAGGAGAAGGGTGGGCTGGAGGGATGAAGGCAAACCATGGGTGCACACCTGGCTCTGGCATCTCTCACCTGCTCCTGCTACACCAGGAAAGCACAAACTGCCTCCCTAAAACAGCCTCTCCCTTTCCACCCCCGCAGGCCTGGAGCAGGGCAGGCCACACACATCAATGGGTGCTGCCCCTGCTCTGATGAGCTTGGCTCAACTATTAGAAAAATCCAGGAAAATCCCATCATCATGAAAGCATGAGCTCTCATTGAGCCCAGTGTGAAAAACCAACTACTAGTCTTACCAGGCAAACAGGGAGCAACTAATGGAAGGCAAAACTAGATAGAGAACAGGAAAAGAAACCAGAGGAAAATAACCCAAGCTTTTCCAGTCACAGGGAATGATGAGAAGGAAAAAGGCATTGTTAAGAATAATTATGGGAGGTTGCAGAGATATCCCACAGGACTCTAGCAAAATCTTACCAGGAATAAGTCTTGTCTTGACAGTGCAACCCATCTGTTTGTGACTACAGAATAACTGAGTATTTGCAGTTAACATACCAGTCAAGGATGGCCTAATTCTTGCTTCACCTATACAGTGAAGGAACACAGCAGAGAACTGATACTGCCACTCTCCTGGCAGATAAGAAATGCCTAAATGGCACGTTAGCCTCCACCACTTCAGAATGCTAATATTCCCACAGTGGCCTCCAGTGCAAGCTGCACATCTGGCACAGTTCTAACAGCTGGCAGATCAAAAGAGAAACCAAAAACAAGACAACCCTATTTCCTCACTAACACCTGCATCTGAATGCAAAACCAAATGAATACACAATTTCACTTTTTGCTTTAATTATGCCAGCCTAAACTAAGCCTTTATTATATGCAGTGGTTTGTTTGACCAGCCCCAAGTGCAAAGGTAACTCAGTCATAGCTTCCCACCCCCAAGGACACCCACTTGCAGTGAAGACACAATCAAAGCCTTTTCACTGTACAAGGCTTCCCTTTTATGAAAAGCTTGCTTAAATATGTAAGCAATTTCATAGACAGAAAATCTGAGTAATGTTCAAAAGGTCATTTTTTCCAAACTGGTTGCTTTAAATTTCTGCTCTCACTATGCTGTAGCTGGTATTTTCTTTAAGTCACCATTAAGGAACTGAATCTAAGGTCACTAGGAACAACAGCCATTTAGTCTTTAATTTCCCAACAGATTATATAAATACCCTGTTATTAAAAAAAAAAAGTGTTCTCACCTTGTTTGGGCACTTGTGCAACAGCCACAGCTACACATATTGAAATGAAAACGAGAGTTTTCCTAAAAGAGAAATTAAAAAAAGAACTTGTGAGAAAACTTCTGAAGTTTCAGAACTCCCAGGCATTAGAAGCTTGAGTCAGTGTCCTAAGTCAATGGCAGGATACCACTGACTTCAGCAAATCCTGGATCAAGGCCATCATATTGTACAACTTCCCGCTAATGCTGAGAAGAGGTTTTAAGCAAAGATCAAGGATTGTGTGTGCCCTCATATATAAGACAAATATTTTAGACTGAATAAAGTAACTGCATCTGGTTTATATTTTCTTGCAGCAGCCTTCAAATATGAATGTATTGTAGTACAAATGCTATGTACTAAATTTCTTCCTAGAAAGAAAAAAAGTTACTGTAAAGAAACTATAAAACAGATTACAAGTTAATGCCTATAAAGATCATTAGACACCTTTGTCCCAGTGTACCTGCTATCAGTCTTGTCACTGTGCCAGTATCAGTCTTTTACCTTAAATGAAAATGTTGTGTCACACTTCTGTTCCTATATGATAAAATTTTGTTCTGTTACAAACAAGGTCTGCTCTTCACAAAAAGTGAAAAAATAGCATTACATTTTGACTGAAGACTTCATGCTCAGATGCAAGACTGTGATACTGGTAGATACCATAAGCTCACCGATTTCACCAAACATATATAAGGTTGATACAGACTTACGTGCTTGAAATCTGCTTTAAATGAAGACATGACAGGCAAAGTGTTAACTGCTGAGCAAAGAATACATTTTTACCATGGTTAAAAACAGACAGTCTAGTATTTTTTATTCAATTATGGTATTAGCTAGTGACTGAATCTTGTAATAAATTAGGAATGCATTTTCTGTTAATATTAGATATCCAGGCACAGAAATGTACGTAACAATAACAGTGACCTGTATCTATTTAGTGCTAAGAAGAAATATTTCTAAAATATCAGAAATACAGTTCTGATACTGACTATCCCACTCACTCTCCAGCCTCAGCTTCACCCTCTTTCTCATTAACATATATAACCTCATTGATTTTTTGTAATATTAAATGTTAGACCCACTAAAAGTGGTTGCTGAACCAGAATGCTCTTGAGTATGTGGGATAAGCATATTTGAAAGTAACACAGTTGCAGATAAACACCTGTAGCTTCATTTGATGCAGCTTTACCAGCTAATTAGTCAAGTTCTCACAGCATAAAAAGTTCAGAAAGAAAACCCCACCACTTTAAACAGGAACATGTGGCTCAAACAGCAATGACAGACGAGTTCCTTCCACTGAGTATTCACTACCTGGTTACCTTCAGTTGAGAGGATAATGCACGTGTGCATAAACCAAGTATTAGTAGTGCTAAAATGACAAGAAATCATACTATGATATATATATATATTTGTATGGACACACACAGAGATCAGTATTTAGTGAAAAATAAATTCAAACATTCCAGAAATGTACAAGTACATGAAAATAACAAAGGAAAAAAAAAGTGGGTTTAGCACTCAATTTGCTCAGTAAAAATTCATTGATCTAGCAGAAAATGGGTTTGATTACTTACCCTCCTTTCACCTAGGCAGCTTTACTGCAGGGTTTCACCTGCAACTGGTGCTGCTACTTCTTGTGGGCTCCCCCCTGCTCAGCCCAGACCAACCTGAGCAGCAGGTAGGTAGTTCTCAACTCCCCAAGCCCAGCCCTTGATCAACACTTGCCAATCAAACCCCACCGGACTGAGCCTTCCCCCCATTCCTGTTATGAGGGAGAACACCCATAGGAAATGCTGAGAGGAGAAAGGAAACATTATAGACACAAACAATCCCCATTCCTTACAGGTGTGGTAGTTCAAACAATAATTTAAGAAGTGCAGTAATCATCACCACCTGCTCTCCAGCTCTCAAATCTCTCTGCTGTCCTTTCCCTTTCAACCTGATCAGCTGCCTGGACCGAATTCACAAATTGGCACTCTGATTTTCAGACTAAGCAGTTATTTAAACAGGATTTCAGATTACAGGGGCAGGGAAAAGAAGCTTTACAAAATTAGACTAAACATTTTTCCCAATATGATCTCTCTTACAGAATCTCCTGCAGCATTCTTTCAAAATTTCTGCTCAGATTTTTCAAAGCAGTAAGTCTGTGGGATCTTAGACAACATTATGTCTATTGGTTCTACAATTACATGTGGATTTGCATACTGTGAGAGTTTAAGTTTTGGCAATCAGAACAAATTAATAATTTTCAAAGCAGTAAGGCATGATAATTTTGTCATTGCTATTACCACTGTAAAACTGCAGAAAGATGGTGGTTTTTAGAAGAAAATGCACAGGATATTCAATCATGCATAATTGCTCCAGTTCTGATCACAGAAGGGGAGTGGGGTGAAAACTCCATCTTATAAATCCCTACATACTTGTGGGGACATGTTTTTTAACTAACCAGTGCACTCTTCAGCTATTCCTCTCCTCTGGCTTACTCCTGCTACAACCATGAAACATCTACTGGAGCAGTCCTGCCACTCCTGCAAAAGACCTGATATGAACTGTTGTCCATCAGCTATGGGACACTTTCATTTTGCAGCTCTGAAGACCAGAATTGAAGTTCTGGTGTTATTTCACACGTGAATAGTTTCCATGACACACAAAACATCTTTATATCTAATTAGAAGCTCAGTTACAAGAGAGAGCTGTGTCAGGAAGAAAGCCCATGCATTGCACTTTACCAGCTAAAACTCAGGACAACTATTCATTTGACTTTCATGTGTGCAAAAGGAATTCACAATTGAAAACAGTGATAGACATCTTAGTTAACTCTACAGTAAGGACACTCAAAGAACCTCAGAACCCCAAATGCAAAGATAACTCCTCTTAACATTACAAAAGCCTCTTCCAAAATATCAGCCAGGGACAAGAAGTGTGTCAGGTATCTGCCTTCAGCACCTCCCAGCAAATGTTGTAGGAGGGCAAGAAATTCCAAAATGCTCCAGGGCTGTAAATTACATAGATGTAACTGGATACACAGAAACATTTAGTGTGAGGTTAAGACAAATGTCTGGCTTACACAGTACTCTCCAGCTAATGTCAAGAACATATGAGTGATCAGCTAAGAGAAAAAACAGGGACCAGAGACAATCATAGAGCTGGAGGTTCCTTCATAGTCTTCCTTTACATTTTTTCACAAGTAAAATCTTTTGTAAATTAAACCATGTGCAACCTAAGGCAGAGTTGCACCAGGGAGCCCTCCGTGGCTGAAGATTAATACATGAAATTCTGTCTAAGAGAATCTGCTCACGCAAACCCTCCCGTCATAGTCAAGATCATTACTCTTTGCATTAAATGTTGTAGAGCAGCCAGTTCTCAGTCTCCATCCTCACACGAGCACTGCCACTAAGCCACCAGGCTCCCTGCTGTGTAACGAGTACGTGCCTTGATCCAGCGTCTGCCATAGCTGCAAGGAACAAAGCAAGCAGCATGGAGAACCCCAGACCACCTGCATTAGCTGAGCCCCCCAGGGAGCTTTTCAGAAGAGTTGCCCCGTTAGGACAGGACAATAGAAAAATGCAAAAGCACATGGCAGGGAAACTCCAGCTGATTCAAATGCTGGCTAGTTTCCCCCATTTAACATCACACAAAGCTGTTCGAATACCCCTTGGCTATGTCCTGCCCTAGAGTGTAATTATCTCCTGAGCTTCCTCCCCTCCTCCTACCTTTTCATCCTCTCTCCAATTTTACATGCAAACCTGACCTAAGGGCAACTATATAACTGTTTGGAGGAAGGCTATGAAATGTGGTTGAGCTATTCTACCGCTTCTATTTCTTATAATCTTTGACATCTTGTGGCTGTTTGTGTCTTCCTGTGAGTGGACAGCAACTATCCACCTTAATTTTTTTTTCCATTAGGGATGACAGATGGATGAGGAAACTGATAAGCTTCAGAGCAAGTCGTGGCAAGCAACGATGCAAAACTCCACCCTCTATTCAGCACTGTACAGAGCTTGGGTTTGGTCAGTGCACAGGGGCACAGGGTAACAGTATCCTCTTCATTCCAGGATAGACAGTTTCATGAACCTCAAATTTAAAAGAAGAAATATGTGGCTGCTAAAGAAGCCAGGAAACCTGTTCCCAGTGTAAATGGCACAGATGCAGAACACACTAAACTTGAGGGCTGTATTCAACCCTCTGCTCATCAGTGACTATGGTCTAAATCCCAGCACCTGTCACACATACATTACATCATTAACTCTTGCCGAGGACTGCTGAGGAGAATAGCCTAGTGTGTCCATCAAGCCTGAGGGCTTGGGGAAAGGTGATAGACGTTGTGGACACGGATGCCCTGGGCTTCTCAAAGCCCCCCAAACTGTTAAAAACCTTTTCTTTCAGGATCTGAAAAGACAGGGATCTTCCTTGGCTGCTATAACTAGATTGGCCAGCAGGGCCATCGCGGCTTCAAAGTTTTGAGACCTACAATAAACGTGGCTTGAGAGGATGCAACAATCTCTACAGCCTCTCCCCTGTGACCCCCGCCACGGCCTTTGGGCACAGATGCCATTGTGGGAAAACAATTGACCACATTGAGCAGGAAAACTTCTGAATTCATTTCTGCAGGTTCACAGGTGAAATTATGGGGGAAAGGAAGAGACACAAGATAAGGTGTGAGACAGAGGATCAAAACACTACTCTTCTTTCCTCCTGAGGACCAGTGGCCTAAGAGGCATCTTGCAACCTTACTGTACACTTCAGAGGAAGGAAACTCCCTGCCTAGTGCCCCAGCCACTCTCTGGACAGCATTTGGCTTAAGATGAGAAACCACCACATCCAAAGCAGTCACCTCTGTTATTGTTTCTAACAGTAGAAAAATGAACTTAAAAATATAATTTTAGAACCATTTTATGAGTATGTACTTGATTTTTTACACTAGCTGTCTTATCTGGCCAGAGTACACTAAGAGTTTGTCTCTGCGTTGAGGCACAAGTACACAGATCAAATCCTCACTCCTGTGAAATACTCTGTTCTTTCAAGATTTGTCTCTGTGCATCTTGTAGATAGATCACTCTTCAAATGTTCTACAACTCAGCACTTGCAAGAGACATAGGGAACACAAGGCTGATCATGTTTTAAAATAAAATATTCTGCCAACAAATTTGGTGAGAGATTTAAGAGTAATGGAGCTGTAGGTATCTTATTTATTGAACCTACAGAGAAACCCCTATACAGGTAGCAGGTATGACCTAGTAGCATTTCCACAAAAAGATTGCAAGGGACTGGATGGTTTCATCCTAAGGAAACCTGATCCTTTTGAAAGACTTCTGATTTCTTAACACAGGCAGCTAGGTTGCTTTCTCTGTAATAATGTAAACTAGGTAAACAAGATTAATTTTGCCCACAGAAGCATATAGATACATATCCTGAAGCTATCTCAGGTTTTGAGCTTGGGTAAACTGCACTTGTGCTGTTGTACTACTTTACTGTAACGCAATTTATGTTCTCTATCAGCAATATCCCTTATAGAATTATCAAACAAAAGCCTTTTAAAAATCGTACTCAGGAGATTCCTGAAGAAATCCCACAGACACAGCCATTAAAGACGCGGATCTCCCGGGGAGGTCACCTTCCGGCACCGCCGAACTGCTCATAAACGCTCCAGGGCACCCAGATTACACACCAAACTCTCTTGAGAAGCATAATCCTCGCTACAACACAAACCAAACCCTTCACTGTCCCACTCGGTGCTCTGAGTGAACTTATTCAAGCCACAGCTACAATAAACCAAGCACTTTACAAAAAAGGGCACATACTGGTAACCTGTACAATATCATCACAGCGATCAAAAGTTCACAGTATCTTGCCTAGGCTGCTTTTAGGCAAACTACAGAGGAGAGCAGAGTTCTGACTTCGCATCACAGACAACAGCACGTTAGAAATACCTAAGCCTGTGGCAGAAGCACGTAAATACAGGGCACGTCCCCCGGTCACCTCCGCTACCAAGAGAGCAGCCTCAGCTCGCTTAAACCTACGTTCTGCAGGTTTTGTTTGCTCGCTGTGTTTTAACAGCTGTGTGCCAGCGGGGAGGACGAGCAGCCGGGTCACCTGTGGGTGCAGAGGCAGGCTGTCCCCGGGACCCCTCTCCCAGCCCCGGGGATGCGCTGCTCTCCGGTCAGGACCCTCCCCGGGCCGGGCTGCGGGCTCGCACGGGGGAAGAATGACACGAGGGGCCGGGAACATCCCGAAAAACAGGAGGGAAAGGAGAGGCAAGGGCGAGCGCCTGGGAGCGCTAGAGGCGTCCGGGGGCGAGAGGCGCGCAGGCACCGCGCTGCCCGCAGAGCCGGCACCGCGCGGGACCCCCGGGACCTCCCGGGGTCACGGCTGGAGCTCG